GTGCCTGTTTTGGAGGGTTAACATAGAGATCCCAACTGACTCATGGTTTACATGTTTTAAACAGGCTTATGTGAGTTCTAGTCTATTTTTCTCTGACAGGCTAGGCAGTCTGACCAAGCTTGGAGCATATGTATATTGGGTTACTCCGGCAAGTTAGGCAAACAAAATATGTTGAGAGCAATTATAAATTAGGCTACTCTGGCCAGCCAGGGAGACAGATCATGCCAAAAGAAAAACAAAACATTTATATCTTAGGCTATTCTGGCGGGCTAAGCAAACGCATCATGTTAAATAAGTAAAAGCAAAACATTTATGCATTAGGCCACTCTGACAGGCTAGGGAAACATCTAGCTAAGACCAACTGTATATGCAGTCATTCTGGTGAGTCAGGAATCGACAGTGTCCAAGTCCTGGTGGCTGTCTCCCTTATTTTATCAAGGCAGGTAGGGTTTTGGTGGTAGCCTGTGGCATCGCACCTCTGCGCGTTCTGTGCCGGCTGTCAGCCCACTCCATTTCGAGCCTGGGTTGTAGAGTCCTTCGCTGCAGGGAGACAACCAGAAAGGAGGCGGCAAAGTAGTGGTGTCGGGTGGGCTCTCGCTTCTCTGATGTGCTGGAGCGTTTTGTGGGCTGAGAGGAGCTTCGTCGCTGATCGGCTGTCCGCATGTAGTGCGGTGTCTTCATTGCTGGTCGTGGTGCGGTGTGTCGCTGTCTTGGTACAGGGTGCAGCATTAGGTGTGTGAGACCGGTTCCCCGATGTGTCAGAGGTTCCCGCTTCCGTGCCTTGTTTGGCAGTGGGTTCCTCCGTGGTGCGGGAGCTGACTCATTGCGTCCCCGTCTTTTCCGCCTATTGCTACCTTGAGGTGAGCGTTGTGCTGGAATGCCTTGACGGGTGTTTACCGGTGGTCGTTGTGGGGTGTTGGTTTGCATGCGCCCGGTTGCTTTGCCGTGTATTGTGGGCGTCTGGGGACTGCATGTTCTCTGGCTGGTTTTGATGCACGCGGTGTCCGCCATCTTAGGTACAGTGCCACGGATCAGGCTGCTGATGCTGCTGGGTCCAAGCTGGCTTGCCGCTTTCGGGGTCACAGGGTGGAGGCCGGGATCACCCCCGCCGGCCCAGAGGGGGGGAACAGGGCCAGGTCCTAGCCGGTCCGGTCCTCAGGCCGGGCACTGTCAGGCAGGATACCGGGCAGCGGCCGTCCGCCCCGCTCACTGCCGAAGAAGGCCCCATCTGGAGCGGCAGTTTCTCCCCCAGGGGACTGCAACTCTGAGAGTCAGCCTCTCCTTGGGTCCAGTGGTCTCAGCACACGGAGGACCGGTCCTGTCGGTCTGCTGTCCCCGGGTAAATCATGCTTTAAGGGCTTATAGAGTGGGAAAGTGCAGGAGCTGAGGTTGCTTGTGACCATCCAGCTCGGCGGTCC